GGGGGGGGGGGGGGGAACGTGGTCTAGATTTAGCCTCAGGATCACATGTGCAGATCAATGCTGAACTGTGTAACCGTGTTCACTTGCATAAAAGATATTTAATTGCCCAGCAGCCATGAGAACAAAAAACCTGAGCCACAGTTTGCCTAAAGTAATGCCATGAGCTTGTCACAGGCACAGATCCTCTGAGTCCTGATAAGTCTGCCTTTTCCCCGGCCTGCTAAGGTGCAGCACAAGACAAGTTGTGCGTATCCAGCTTGTGTGTCACCATCTTGCTACAATTTGCATTGAAGCAAAGGATAAACCTTATAAAAATAGAAGGAGACTGGAGATTTCTTCACTTGTTCTATTTAAATCTTCTTGACTATCAAACCAGCAATGCTACACCTATTTCTTAGCTAGCCACTCTGTTCTGGCTGGCCATTCTGTGAGTAAGCAGAACTCCTGGATCATGTGTGAAGTTTTCCACTATCAGCATCCCCTTCCAGAAGTGAAGTGCCAGTTCTCTCACCTAGATCCCTGGTTTAGACATAGATTTTTTTATTTTTTTTTTTCCCAACAGAGTCCACAGATGGAAGGAAGACTCCATGTAAAAAACCCTGTAATCCCTCAGAATGAGCATCCAACAGTTTTGCTGGCCAATGCAGCAGTTGGCATGGGAACCTCAGCAGCCGAAGCAGGCTAGCAAGCAGGGACAAACAGCAGCAGCCAAGGACAGCACGCAGTCTCTCACTGGGCATGGATTGGGGAGTTTTAAAATCCAGCCCATCTCCAGAGAGAGGGAAGACTTCGCACGTGTATGTGTGCGCAGTGGTGGGGCAGTAATGGTTCACTCAGTCGTGGAAAATAAAAAGCCTGTCACAAAAATCTATATTCAGAAGCATATTCACAGAATCACAGAATCATCCAGGTTGGGAAAGCCCTTGAAGCTCCTCCAGTCCAACCAAGAACCTCACCCTGACCGTTCCCAACTCCACCAGATCCCTCAGCGCTGGGTCAACCCGACTCTTCAACCCCTCCAGGGATGGGGACTCCCCCCCTGCCCTGGGATATTAATCAGGACCTTCTTGCGGGTGTTTTGGCCTTTGTTGTCTGGCTCTCATGGAGTCATGCGCTGTCTCCTTTGCAATACAGATGTGCACTGCCTCACATTAACCAACCCACGCACCCCAATGAGAGCTTCTATATGATGCACGTGTCTTACCAAGCAAGCAGGTGCTACCAGGGAAGCTGTGATCCTCACACAAGCCCAAGTACGGCGATACCACCTGCTTGACCAGTTCTTCCAGCTGTAAGTAGCCCTCACTGGGGCCAGTAGGTTCATGGACACTCTGAAATTCAAACATGAAAAGTCAACATTACCCTTACAAAGTTTTGAGGTTTTGAGTAAAGCCTGGGGTCTGTCAAGTATCTCTGCACTGGAATATCCCAACCATATCAGTAGAGGGTTTGGAGAAGCACAGCTGATAAGCCCAAATAGAAGTTTGGGTGCCTTTTGGGTCAAGCTCCTTGTTCAAGTCACAGCCATAACCCTACGGCCATCGAGCAGCTAGCTGGTTTTTTTCTGACCAAGAGATAGGAAGGTACAAGGTACACACGCTCACACTGAGGATTTGCACCATTTAACTACAGCGATATAATTATACCCAGGGCAGTCCTACCAGGAAATGGATCTTTGTGGAAAAGCCTTAACACACCTTGGGCAAAACACTTCTTTCCCAGGCAGGACTGCAGAAAAAGCACCCTCTGTAGTTCAGCTTACAGCTGTGAAGATGGTAGATAACACTAACCAATTTAACAGTAATTTCAGAAACCGTTCACAGGCTCAACTTCCTGCAAAGCTTCAACAAATTTTATTTTCTCAAATGCGTCACTCTGAGACCCTCTTTGCCCTCAAAATTCTTTTATTAAGATATTTCAGGGAAATTGAGCTAGCACTTCAGTATCCTGCTATCAAAGCCAGGGTAACTGGGAACATCAAAACACCAAGAACTCATACAGATATGCCAGCTTAACCATTTCACAATTTTGATTGTACTTCAGAAGGTTTAATTCCTTCCTACTCATTATAAGGTATATTGGAGAAGAAATAAAAGTGAGAGGAATCAAAACAGACACCTGCAGTATGGTATTTTGCAGGACTGTCAGGCTGGGCAATATAAGAAGATAAACAGCTGGTATGCTTGGAAAATATTCTCTTGAGGTCTGGATAAAGACAACAGCCCTCACAGAAGGCCTGGGTCCCCTGGGAGAGGCCTTTGGAAGATGTATAGCATTCTGATTGCTGCCAAAGGTATTCCTTCTCTCATGGGCACTGCTCAGCACCCCAGCCAGCCAAGGGGCCAGCACTGAGCAGTCAGCAGCATCAGCTTGTTCAAATTACACAATCCGCTGTGATGGAGACTGACCCTGTCACTGCAAAGCTGAGAAACCAGGAGAACTAGGGCACAGAAGGGTATTCAGAGAAGCTGGAAAATGAAAATTTAAGTGGAGGGGAAAAAAAAAAAAGAAATGTCCTGAGACTGTTCCTAGCTCAGGAGGAGAGGTATCAAGAAAAATACAAGCATCAAAGAGTAGAACCCGTCCCTTTCATGGTAATATCCTTACCTGTTCCCAGGAAAGCTCAGTGCATTCAAATTCAGCCATCATTTCTCTATTTACCACTCTCAAATAGGTACACATCACCTCCCCTTCATCACACCCTCTACCCTCCCCACTTCCCTTTCCAGGGTTTGTGTTAGTTCAGCGATGTCAGGATAACCCAAGTGGAGTCAGACGAAGAAGAGCAGGGGCTCCCCACCTGCAGAATTAACAGCATCTGGACAATGGAAGCTGGGAGCTTTGTCTGGACCAGAGGAAGAATGTCTTCCAACTTTACTTTTAGCAAGACCAAGTCTCTGAAGCCAAGAAGAGCAATCTGACGGATAGTCAACTCCTGACCCTAAAAAACACAGAAGGCAAAATCCAGAAGTTGGTACAGGGACATGTGAGCATTGCACCAACACATGTACGCACACAGACAGAAAGGGTCTATCCTGCCTGTTGCTGCTGTGGCAAAGGACCCCCCAGCTGCTCAGGTTAAGGATTCATGATACTCCTTGGTCTCTCCCCTATCAGTCTCTGTCCCACACAAATTCTGACATGAGTAACACCTCCTCTGAGGCACCACTACCTTTGGAGTGAAGCCATAAATGGGGCTGGATTTCACCAAAAGACTATATATTCAAGAAACCCAACTGTGATCCAATTTGGTCACAAACACCCAAAGTTCACAATGGATGCAGCTTGTGCTTCTGCCACTCCAAGCTGAGAAACCAGAGAAGGTTTGGTAGAAAAGAGGTTGGTACAGGGTGTTCCTTTACTACCTCTGGTCTGTGTTGTATCCTCTTTTTGCTCAATGCCCGTACTTTAGACCTTGCTGATATGACAAAAATCCACAATTCAGTTCATTACAGATTTTATGATTCAGGTTAGAGCAAAGCTAGCAAGACTGCCTGTACCAAACAACATTATAAAAAGCAACAGCTTTGATTTCCACTGCAAGGCACTCCATGTCCTCCCAGTTACTTCCTTACACCAAAAACACAAGTGAGCAGGCTGAACAGATGAAGATGTTGTAATATTTCTCAGCATATTTAAATACCGTTGGACTCCATTTGGCATGCTGGTGTTACTGCCTTTCCCTCTGCTATGTTTAACATCCACACAACTTTCTCTTGACCCACTGCAGCTTAACAGCAGAAATTTTCCTCCCAGCCCTGCCCTGCACTTTTCAGCCTTGAGAGTTTCCCCTGTTCTTCCCAGCATGTTAATCTCTGCCCTACAGTCTGGGAACCATTTTATGGTCTCCATTAACACACTCAACATGGCAAATATTTAGCTGGAAGAAATTAACCATAGTTAATAATTAATTTACAATGGGTTTAATGTCATATTTAACAGCATCATCAATATGTAAATATGGATTAAAGCCCATAGTCTGGAGGGCAGCTTGGCCATAATAAAAGCACTTTGCTGTTTTAAACCATCACTGCATGTTTAGGAACATGGAAGTGTAGAAAAGACCAGTACGTATCTCTGAACCGTATTTCAGCAGCTGCATGCTTTTTATTTATATCATGCAGTTCAGTCCCATTAACTTCATACCCCATTTCAAAACGCAAACATCTTGCTGTGCCAAACAAAACAAGATTTGCTATTCTTTTTCCACACCAAGTAGTTACATCAACAGCTGCAACTATATAAAAGCCAGTGACCTGTTTACATAGTTTCCCTCTGCACAGCAATTTAACCAACTTGGCTGCTTAAAGGTCATATTTCTGCAACAGCTACGAGCCTTGGGTTTAAACTTAGCTGAAACAGAAAGTTATTTCTAGTTACTACCTTCGGTAACATATGCTCACACATCTGGCTGACTTTCATTCTGAATGGACAGTTGCTGGGATCACAGAGAACACAACTAAATAACCCACCGATGTTTGCAGCAAAGGATAGGGAACCAACAACAAACTGACTTTCCCATCTACCAGAGTAGCGCATGAAGAACTGGGCTTGGTGAAAGAGATATGCTCTCTCCACGTGTGGTGACACTGTATAAACAGCTACATTTAGACAGTTTAAATCCATACATTCGTGTGTAGGACTTAGGTGCCTACCAAGCTTTAAATACACTGTTACCTCTCAGTTCCTCATCCGTACAATGACAATACTTCCCTAACTTCACGGCTTCTATGAAATATTTTTGTGTGACTCAGATATTGTGACAAGACAAACACAGAAAGTTATTCTTTCAAAGAATGTCAGCATCCCATACTCTTCCTTCCACCACTACCACCAAGGTGCTTCCAAAAGCAGCACCCACTGTGCAGTAACTTTTGTCCAGTTTCTCATTAGAGACATTTAATAGCAGGGGAGTAGATTTTTCTGATAAGTGGCAGAATTATTAGCATCAGTGGGTACAACACTGTTAGCTCAGCTGTTTCCACAGGGCACAGACAGCTGCAGTGAAGACAAACCCTGCTTAAAGAGATTAGGTTACTCCCTGACTGAGAATTACTTGTAAAAGGAGAGAAAGGGAGGATATTATAATTGCACAGTTTTACCTGCCAAACACCTACCTTTAAGCATCTGCAGCAAGGAAAGAATAAAAATAAACACAGTAGAAAGGTTAGTGTCTGTCTTGCAGAAGGCCCTTCTCTTTTAGAAAATACCAGCTTTAATAGGATTAGAAGAAAAGGGCAACCTTTGAGCTTTACCTGCTGCCTTTCAAACAATACAAGGGGAAAATTATTTTTAAAGGTTCTGGAAAACATCTGTTGGGAAGAGGCAAAAGTCAAGGGAAGGTGGCTAGGATTTCCAAGAACATCAGTCTCCTCACAAGGTACATTTTTCTTCTCCTCTGATGGAAGAGAAGATCAAAATAGGTTGGGGAGGGAATTAGACTGCTCGTATGGAAACCCTGACTAAAACTACATTAAAAAATTACACAGCTCAACACTTCTGATGGGATACTCAGCTTTGAAAATAGCCAGTGTAAACAGGTTGTTCATTCATTCGCTACCCATAGAATTACTTGTCCCCTTATTAAAGCTTCAAAAAACTCAACAGAGGACTTTCCAAAGGCACAACTGGGATAAAAGCCCTCCAAAAAGTAGTTAGTATGAGTTGAACACATTTGCTCCTGCTCTAGTCTTCAGATTTGTTCCTCTGTAGACAAGTTGTCATCTGTACCAAGCATTTAAAAATGGAAGAACTATAAATAAAAATAAATGGCCCAGAACTTCAGCCTAGACAACATATAGTCCAGTAGTTTCAGTGTTCAAGCTCAGCTAAGCACAGACAGAGGGTAGACAAATAAGAAAAAATTCAGCCCAAAACACTGTGTTTGCTCAGTAGATTTAGCAGTCCTTCTTATACAGTTAATGCTGACTTAGACAAACTCTACTTCCTCCCAGATTTAGTTTAAAAGTTTTGAGACCTGTTTAGCCACTGACCAACCAGTGTTGCTGGAACAGAAGAGAAGTTTCCCTGTGCCATTAGCAGACACTGAAGTTACATTGCCTCACCTGACTGAAGACTGAATTATAATTAAGATTACCTGGACTGGGTAGAATATTGCCTGGAGTGTAGGAAGAGTCTCTGTAAAATAGTGATCCCAGATTTCAGACAGGACATCAATGCGATCCTCACCTACCAAAAGAGATTGGGAGCAAAAGCTTTAAAATCAAGTCGAATTTTCCCACTAATCTCTAATTCCCCAAAGAGATACAAACCCACCCTTCACATTCACAGTTTCCACCCAAAACTAGACATTACTCAGCTAAGGTTCGTCTTAACTGACAGAGGCCATAAATTGCTCTGTTGCTTACTGCAAAGAAGACAGCTCTCTGTGCAAAACATGAAACCAATTACAACAAAAGAGTGAAGCCCCTCTTCAACCAGAGGCTTTAACTCCACAGTAAAGGACTGAGGAACCTCACAGTTCACACACTCAACTAGCATGGGAGCATGCCTGCACCTTAGCAGCTGAATCTGAAAACCAGCAGGTCACAACCAACATCAATCATCCTGCAGCAGCAGAGTCAGGAAGAGCTGAGCCCCCTCTGGCATCGCCCCCTTCCCAAGCAGAGACACAGGACCCTGACAAGCCAAAAAGCCACCACGCTCCTGTCAAACATGGCACTTGGGAAGGCTCCCAAACAAGATCCACTTGTGGCCACCCCTCATATGACTCCAACTGGAACCAGCGTCCCCAAATGTAAGTAGATATTTAAAATGAAGGCAGACAAAGTTATGCAATTTGTGATTCCCATAACAGGAATACAATTGTGGTCAAAAGCCTATTATTAACAAAAAAAATGCTTTACTGAACATAACCACTTGAACAGATATTTTAAATTATGCTCATAGGCTTGACTTACAGAGCTGTGTGTTCCTCAGCATTTGGGCCCAAAGCCTCTATGTTTTTTAGGAGATTTTTCCCATCTCAAAAGCCAAAAGTTTGCAGTTTGCAATGTGTTTTCAAGTTTTAGATACTTCCCCCAGAAATTTCAGGTGCAAATACAGAGACCCAGGTTTAATAACACAAGTTTCTGACAACAGGATTTTCCAGGATACCTTCCACAGAGCTTCAGCTGGAGCCCTACATGAGGAACTGGAACACGTGTAAAATGGCAACTCAGAGGAGCCTTATCGTGGTGTATTGAAGTGCTTTCCCCATCTGGAGGCTTCCACATGAGCTTTCACTGTGCTCGCCCACGGGTTGTGCAGCTTAGGACACAGTCAGAGAGCAAAGAGGCAGCAGAACCAGACCCTGCAGACATTTCCTTGCGAGCAGGGAGCCCACCAAAGAGTGCCAGAGGGTTCAGAAGGAGGCTTCACCATGCCGGGAACAACCCTGGCTTCAAAACTGGAACTGCAGGCAGACGAGCACCTACCCAACACCCCCATAACAGCTACCCGTTACCAGAAACTGTACGTGAAAAAAAAACAACAGGAAACAGACTAATTGAATGTTTAATTTTTTCCCTTTTCTGCCTCCTCCCCAGGACTGCAACGCTTTGGTGTGTGGAGCCAGAATGAAATGTCACTGATCACTTCTTCTGAAGGGGAAGGGGGAATAGCTTTTTTCAAGAAATTATAAATCCTACAGACATTTGAAAGAGATTCTTACAGAGCGTATAAAGAAAAATCAGGTTAAAAAAAAAGAGGCTGTGATTTGAAAAACAGACACAGCAAAGCATTGCCATGCCCTGCAGCAGGAACATTATTCCACCTCCAAGTACTGGGACAGTAGAAATTTTCCAGGAAGACAGAGCTAACTGAGAAGTATGTACAAGAAGTTCTTGTTGTTGTGACCACAAGACCGGCAACAAGCCTACATATTATGAAAGAAAGGTGTCCATGAGTCATCTCCTGCAGAGATGCCAGCCTGCACAGGCAAAGTGGCTCCAGTGTCACTTCAAACTAGGGACAAAAAAAAAAAAAAAAAAAAAAAAAAAGAAGCATAGGAAGAGGGTTTTGTTGTCTGCCTGGGAAACTCCATCTTACGCAAACCACTTGAGCAGCTGCAAACTACTCCCAGGCAGCTCTCGGCTTACTAAAGACTGAACCTCAATTTTCACGATGCTAAAACAGCTATTGGGATAGTTTTTTATATGAATACAGAAAACAAAATCTATGGTCAGCTGCACAGCACTTTCTGAAGAGCTGGAGGCAGCAGGGCAGGTACCCACGTTCAGGAAAATGCATGAATCTGCCTCTTTTCCTCCCTTACAGGGCCAGTGCTGAAGTATCACGCACCAAGCAGGAGGCTGGCAACTGCACAGCTCCTTCAGGGTCCCAGTCCTACAGCCTGCTGGCCGGGTGGAAAAGTCACCTGGTGAAGAATGGTGTGGAGGAATCTAGCATCAACAATGATGCGAGACTGTGTCTATTGGCATTTAATGACCTAGATAACTGCAAGTGATTAGCAAGGGATCTTCCCTACAGGCTACAAAACTGGGTCAAATCAAACAGCAGCCTAGTTTTGAATAAAGACATGTGCTCTAGACAGCTTGCTCTGCTTGAGCAAACTTAATAAACATGACTAACTCCCCATACACCCAACACTGAGAGTCACTGTGCCACACCGGCCTTCGTCCCCAGGCTCTGCAGCAGCAAGCATCTGTACCCCAAAGGTTTAACACAACTTCAAGTGTGATCCTGAAAGACTGTGTTCCCACTCAAGTGACTGGTTTTTCTTTAAATTTACACAAATTCAGCTCTCAAAAGCACGACACAGTAACCAAAACTGTGCTTACATCAAGCTGCAAATTATGTTGATAAATAAAAGGCAGAAGGCAACTCTCAGCAGTTTCGCAACAGGATCCATGTCCAGTCCAGAACTGCTTTGAGCCCAGGTTCAACTGCCACACAAGACCCACGTTCCTGTTCTGGTGATGAAGACATGGCTGGTGGGAGCGCTACAGCTACGTGGCTACTCCAACAGCCCACCACCCCTTAAGCCTCACAAGGGCTGCAGTGCAACCTGGCTCCCCAGAGACTGTGTGACACCCTAAGGCAGGACCAGAAAGGGCTGTACGCTTCCCAGACAGGCAAATCATCTTGTCTGACCAAACATCAAAGCACAACTCCCTTCCAAAACGGGTTTCTTACTATACTTGCCTTCACACAGCTTAACCTTCTCCTCTATAAACAGCAAGCCTTTCGCAAGGAGCTGGTTCTGCCAAGAGAGAAGAGAGACATGCATTTGCCTTTTCTGAGATTTCAAATAAACATGGAAGACTTAATTTTTTCCAGATGTTACCCCACTTCGCATGCAGTTATCTAAAGATTAGTCATATCGTAGCACTTTCTCCCGGCACCACCACCAGACCTGGTCTCACTGTGAGTGCTGTATGTTCATTAACCCCCATCTTGTTCAGCCAGACATGAGAACACAATCAGAAAGGCAGATAGTTGATATGTCAGAGGTGGGAAGGAAGGACCTGTCCTGGGTCACAGGGAGGGAGTCAAGAAAATAAAATGGTTCTTAACGTGAGAGTGCAGCCACATAAGCTATACCTCAGCCATATGATGGAAGCAATCAAAGGGACAAATGCTACCAAAACACCCCACTCTCTTCTTCCTTTGCTTTAGCTCAGTGCTTGCCTGACTGCACAGTAAGCCAGTTCAGCTCCCTAACCCTTACTTCTCTTTTCCTACCTATTCTCTTTCTACGAGGTTTTATTTTTTGTTATACTGAGCAGTTCGATCATCTCAGTATGCAGTCTCAAGCTGCAGAAGAAGCATCAGGATCCAGCCTTTCTAGATAAATTTAACAGTCACGAACCAGAAAGATGAAGATTGATGTGCCTGTTTGCAGTTCAAGACATCTAAATAGCTGATAAGCTTTCTGTTCCCATTTCCCTAATTGTAAAAATGGTGGAAAAACAACACCTACCTTTTTGTTCCCCAACAGCACTAGGAGAATCAGTTACTCTAAAAAGCTTTGAGAATCACAGAGAAAGGAGCTGCTATCACCACATAATACACTATTCCTGCATCCTAAAAGCTTCAGTCCTACCCCAGAGAAATAGAAAATAAAGCCTTCTGTCCCTCTGAGAGGATTCAATATCAGGGTAGCACACAAGATCCAGAGACCTCTCTCCCACTCTTTCATGTTCACCCTCCAGCTTTTGTTTTTAATGGGTAACCAGGTCAAAGTTGCAGCTTTCAACCTTCCATCAGCTGAGGAGCAAGGCACATCATTTTTCACTCCCAATGGACACTACTGTTACACCACGGCCTCCTGATGAGCTGCTGTACCACAGAGCTGCCCTTGTGCTGCTGCCTCCTGTAACCATGTACCAGGCTGGCTCATTCATGACACACATGAGTAGGTAGCCCTGCAAGCCACCCCAAGCAAAGAAAGCAGCATCTGCATCCTCCCTACAACAAGAAGGAATCCTAAACTGGGGTACTGTTGAAGGAAACATTTCTCTGTGACATTCTCAGCTTGTACTTCGCTTCCCAGAACAAAAGGAAAACTTGCCACTTGCTAGTCCTACTCATTAGCATCACTGAAATGTGTAGAAAAGGAAAGGCCAGTCCTTAAATAGTACCTAATCAAACAGATTTCTTTTGCAAGTATGTTGATACTGAGGGACTGAAAAGACCACCATACATCTTATCAGTAAGGAAACGTTTCTGGATGCATCATCCTGGTGGAGAATTTATACTCAAAAAGTGGTCAGGTAGGAAAATACTGAAATAAATAAAATCAGGGGCTGAATTCAAGAAACTCCTTTTACTTTGGAATGTCACCTATTGCAAGGAGAGTGCCTTGGGGCTGTGTGTCACTGCAATACCACAGAGAAATTTTTCCATTGACATCTTTGTCAAGATTTCAGCAAAAAGATCCTGGAAGAAAGAACAAGCCATACAAGCTCACCAGTCACCCCACATGCTATGGGTAGTAGGGGTAAGTTTCACATCAAGACTGTATGGACACTGTCTTCTTCATGGGGTGAAAGAGTGTGGTGTTATACAACAGAGAGGAAACGGGTACCTTGGCTTGGCTGTTGTCCCATCTCATGGCTACTTCATCCACACTAAAACACTAACTCATGTTTTGCTACAATGGCTTACTTGTCTTTAACAAGCCAGATATAAGTACTTTTAAGACACTGCTTAAAAAAAAACAAAAAACAAAAACAAAAAAAAACCACCACCCCACAACTGCATCCTCTAATGCATATCCAGAGTTCAGTCAGGACATAAAGGAGGAATGGCCATCCAATTCACCAGTGGTAAGCTCTGTTAGTAGCAATAATGGTTAAACATTGTACAGTGCATACAAAGGAAAAATAATTAATGGTCATGCTTGTAATTAAGGTAATTTGGCCCTGCTAGTAGGTGGCTTTTTTCAGAATTCAAATCCAAAAATATCTATTGTGGTCCTATTCCTAAAATAATGCAGAATTTAGGTTACTTTTAAATTAGTTGCACAGCAAAACCAGAGCATTCTAGGAGCAACACATGAGATGAAACTGTATTATTTGAACCAACCAAGTCACAAGTTTGTTTATAGTCAAGCTATAAACAAATTTCAGCAGTTTACTATTAACCAATTGTCTTGGGTTTGGCTGAGATAATTTTTCTTCTTAGAAGCTAGAATAGTGCTGTGTTTTGGATTCAGTAAGGGATTTATGTTGATAATATATTGATGATTTTAGCTGTTGCTAAGAAATCAAGGAGCTTTCAACTCCCCATGTCCTGCTAGTGTGCAGGTGCACAAGAAGCTGGGGGGAGCACAGCCAGAGCAAGAGACCCAAACTGGCCAATGGAATATTCCATCTCATGTAACACCATGCTCAGTGTATCAATGAGGGCCTATGGAGAAGCTGAGCCTCTCTCTTCTGGGACTGCGGATTGAGGATTTTCTCTCCTCTGTAATCACTGGCCAGGAATGGGCTGGGCATCGGTCAGCATGTGGTGAACAACTGCATTGTGCATCACCCATTTATATATTCTATTATTACTATTATGATTACCATTATTATTTCATTTCAATTACTAAACTGTTTTTATCTCAATCTACAAGTCTCCTTACCCCTCCAATTCTCTGCCCCCTCCCCTGGGGCAGGGGAGGGTGAGCGAGCAGCTGTGTGATGTATGGCTGCCGGCCGCATTTAAACCCCAACACCAGTCCTAAAGATTTCAGCACAGGAATCAGAACTGACATGAATGGTCCTGTTTGTCAGAGAAACATGCTAAAATTGCTCTTCTGCTCACAGGGGCCATGTGAAGACAGGAACCCAAAGCACTCCTGCACATGACCTGAACCTGCTCACTGTACAAACAGCTCGCACTGGCTGCAGGAGTGGAGGGGCTCCAGCAGGACACACACCTGATGGCTCACACCACCTCTGTGCCCTGGGGTATCTCACCCCACCTACAACACCTTACTCAGGTTTAGTCAAAAATCCATACATTTATCCCGAAAACAAGTCCACTTTCTGCAGCTTTTTTGGATTCTGGAATTCACCCCCTTCCTGCAGCAGCCTATTTTCAGATTTATTTCTCAGCAGCAGCATGAGAAAGTGGTGCCGAAGGAAGCTGCGGGGAGCAAAGGGAACATGTCAGTGAGAAATCTGTAATGGTTGGGGGGCTTTGTCTAGGGCTCACTCCTCAGCTAGGGTGAGTGTTAGGGCTGAGAGAAAGACAAAGCCAGGTTTCCCAGCAGAGCACTGGGAAAGCTTCGTTGGGCTGCCAAAGGATGGGAAAGCTGCAAAGATACCATGCCTGGGAGATGCTGTTCATCTGGGCAACGACAACAGCAATTAGCAAGTTGGATAAATACGTTCACACAATGAAAAAAAAAAACCAAACCACCAAAAAAGTTTCCAAACATTGTTATCAACTAATGGTAGGTGACTATTTTGCAAAGATTCTGTAGCAGAAGTATAGGATTTGGAGGGAAATATTAAGTCATTGGATCTTCATTCAAATTTTAGATTTCTTAAGCGGAAATAAATGACTACACGTGTCATGCTCTGGACAACCACAAAAAAAGGCTTTCCAGGAAAAAAACAATATAAATGACTACACATGTCAGGCTCTGGACAAGCACAAAAAAAAAAGCTTTCCAGGAAAAACCAATGTGAAAAATGAGCAAGGAAGAAATCTGGAATGGAAAAAATTATGAGGGAAAAAAGTGAAACCCACTTACACTGTAAGTATTTTTCTGCCTGAACAGTATGATAATGTTTGGAGAGATATTGCACTTTAATCCTTCCAAATGCTTTCAGTTTTATCAATAAAGTATTTCAATTCTTTATTTTTCAACCTATAGCTCAAGGTAATTACCTCTCATATATTGCAGGGAAAATGTACAGCTGGTCTTTAACACTCTAATTTTAAACTACTATATAATAAAAAAGTATATACACATATAAATATATATGAGGGTGTCATGCTGATTTTCTTCTGTTTCTGTCAAGAAATATGAATTCACTCTCTATCTGCACTAGAATATTAGGTTTCAATTTACATACGCTTCTTGAGCACTGTGGATACAATTTTCCAGCTACTTTGCTTATAACTTAGTATCACTGATGCTTTCTACATTCAGAGATTTTTGTTTGTTTGTTTGTTTTACAGCTATGTCAGCAAACAAAGTATGCATTTGTACACCTTTATCGGCAGCACAATTCCATCTATTAAAAACAGATATATTAATCATTACCCTGTAGTGAAGAATTTATAATGCTCTTACAAATATATGATCAGTAATTCCATGTGCTAAATATATTGCGCCAGCTCATTCTTAAGGTTTCTAAAATTAAAAACAAAAAAAACCAAAAAACCCCACACACACACACACAAAAAAAAAAAACCTTAGCTCCATATAGTTACTCCAGATGAATCAATTATCGTCTCAAATTTTTCCTTTTCCTGTGGAAGAGAGACTTTTTACGACAAAACACAACCACCACACTTCATTTCCCTTCTCCCCGTCTTAAAAATACCTGGAAATTTTACTTATCTGTCTTTTCTGCTAAAGTCACAGGTTCAGAAATGGACTCAATCCAAACATTACCACCTCAGATCAAGTCAGACAGGTAAATTTTCATTAAAAAAAACCTACAGGGTTTGCTGAAAATCAATACAATCTAATAAATGCAGCTGCAGCAGAGGTCTGTATCAGACCTTGTCAAGATTACAAGTCTCATTTTACTG